GACAAGTGGTGGACCAAACCAGAGACTAATGTCATTGTGGTATAAGGATGAATAAATTGAAAGGGCAAAATAGTCATTTTGTGTGCTTCTAATTCCAATTTGTGGCAATTTTAGCAAGAAATCAGATTTATAACATTTTTTAAAATAACTTTTCATAAAATGGCAATTGGGACAATTTTCCCTTTAAAGAATAATTCTCCGTTTCCTAAAGGAAGTTTGAACCCGGGACACAAGAGACCAACCCCCTTGTGTTACCACTAGACCACCAACCCTTTGGTGTCCCGTAGATTAGTTGGTTAATCAACCGTAGATTAGTTGCTTAATCAATACATGAAAAAAATAGTACACAATAAACTCCATTATATTTTTTCAAAAAAAATAAAAATAATAACAAGCTCCATTATTGTTGTTACTAATAATAGAGAAGGCATGATTATTGATTAGCATGCTTCAACAATCACGGAATCATGTGATAGTGAGGTTAACAATTTTACTAGTTATGTAGATTTTTATAAATTAATTTGTGCTCTCAGTCAAGTTTTTCGAATATAACAATACATTTTTCATTTGACTCATTTTAATAATCAATTATTGAAAAATCAAATATAATCCTCATCAGGTAATTGTTGTAGGAAGGAGAGAACGAGAAAACACGTTTTCTCTTAATTCATTTATAGGATAATTATTAATTATATAAAATCTACATTTTATTGAGTTTGTCTAATACAATAGAAAACCATAGAGTACAAGAACCACAATATAAAATTCACCAAAAAAAAAAGAACCACAATATAAATATATATCTATATACGACTAGACTTTTGGTATATTATTGTATCACTTTGATCTCTGATATCTTTGTCGATCTTTTGAGCGGTATCTCTTTGATCTTCTATATCTTCAATATCATCATCAGATAACCTAATTAATTGACGAATCCTTTAGTATATATATATTGCCCAAATAAAGATTAGTTAATGTATACATATGCATGCACTCGTAATTAAGTTGCATAAATTAAACTAGGGAACTTACATTTCTTCTCTTAACTTATCGGGCATTTTGTGAAGTAGATATCAATTAACGAGAGGATATATGAGACTCCACGTGGGATTTTCCACGTGGACCTTGAGTTCTAATGAAGAGTCTATATTGATCAAAGGTCATGGGAGGATATATAGGAGGATTAGTAGGTGATACAAGTTGTTGCAGTGGTTGGATTGGAATGTCACTCTTAGGGTTATAGAAGAATGCAAGTGAAACCCTTTCTTTCTGCGAATTCACTATCACTCGATGTTCCGAACTCTTGTATATTGAGTTGCTTAGTATCTGTCATTTTTACAAAAGAAATGTGTTTGTTAGTAAATTAGTATATAGCTATATCGTATATGAACCGCATTTAAAACTTGGTTTAGCAAAAAGATTAATGCTAAAGTAAGATTGTAATTCATCAAACATTTAGATCCATTACCATCTTCCTCAAATATGCTCGAATTGTGTATGCGTTCTCAAAAACTACTCGAATTAGCTACCAACCACACAATATCACTTATTGATTTCTTCAAAATACCGTCTTATTAAAAATCAAATCGTTTGATGTGATGAAAGTGACATGAGTTTTTTTTTTTTTTGAAAAATCATACAATATATATTTTTTCAAAAGTTTGGCATAATACTGATTGTCAGATTAACATTCTAATACATGTCTAAAACGTGGGACTAATACTAGCTACGATCCTCTTTCACACCAACTGTCATAAACATAATATGTATTTTCTTGTAATCTAAACATTTTATTCATATTCTTATAATCAAAACATTTTACTAGCTAATTAGCTGATTTTGTTTGCGAGTATATGTGGTAGTTAGTAAAAAGCTGGAGAT